TACTTTTACAAACACTGAACATCGAAAACAAATGCTCATTAGCAAAATTATGATCCCCGATAGGTTCAATAGGAATGAGTAAATTTGATTTCTCCCATTGCTGTGTAGAAGTAGAATTCGTCCTAAGCCAAAATCCGAATTCAGCAAGACTATAATGAACGGCCCATTTATATAAACCGCAGGGTTGGTTTATCTGCGAAGTTGGGTCAACTAGTCGGGTTGGTTTGGTGGGACAGTCGCCACACTATCTTATGCGGTTAACGAGTGTGCGGATTTACGAAGGTGTCCAACGCTGTCTGGCCTTGGGAAGGCAAGAGAGAGTGAGAGAGATACTCAGACACTGGCACATCTCTGAGGTAACACTCTGTGGTAATCCGTGGTTTATATCGCCACACCCTTCCTTCCTTCCTATTCTACACGAGCAAGAGTGTATGCTTGGACCTTTCCCTTACAAACAAACGATGGCTTTCACCAGACGATGTGGGGTTGGGGGTTAAGGGGAAGGGGAAAGGGAAAGAGAGAGAGAGAGAGGACAATGGGAGAGGGCAAAGGGTTCAACTAGAAAATCCGGAAACTCCTGCAAACCCGAGTAAATGAGCATGTGTTGACAAGCATCTACAACACTCATCCGTACATATCGCGGTAGTATTTGTCAATGACATACAACGAAAGCCGTGCGCGTATTTACCAGCCCGTTAACGACATCCGCTTGTTTCAATTTGTATCCCAGTTTGCGGTAGTATTCTTATCAAAGAAAATTTTCCAAAGGACAACAGGAGAAAGCGTCACTAGCTCGACAAATAAACATTACGCTCGTTTTCGCCTTCTACAATTACAAATTTTATTTTTGCTCTACAAACAATTGAACATAATGTTGCTAAGCTTTATTTTTTAATCTAATTAAATAATTAGCATTCATAGATGATTTTTTCTTCCGTTGTTGAAGTTTATTTCTTTTAATCGATCAGTAAACAATTAAACATTACGCTCGTTTTCGCCTTCTTCAATTAAAAATTTTATTTTGTTTCTATAAACTGAACATAATGTTGCTAAACTTTATTTTTTAATCTAATTAAATAAAATTAGCATTCATAGATGATTTTTTCTTCCGTTGTTGAAGTTTATTTCTTTTAATCGATCAGTAATAAATGAAACACTATTTCATTAGTTGTGCAACGTTTCGGTGTCTAGGTTTGACACCATCATCAAGCCACTTTATTAAACAGTGAAATATTTTTTACCAATTATTAATTTTGAAATAAAATAAAATTCCACAAAAACAAATAAATCACAAATTAATATCTACCTGATCAGTTCTTTTTAAATTATTTAAATAAATAATCTGTTATGTACATTTGTAACGGTTTCGAATAAAATAAAAGCGTCCGAAAAATTAAGACACAACACCGACAATTCGTATATTTTTTTATGATTCAAAAGAGAAGAATCATTCGTCATTTAGTTGACTATTGAAAATTTTACCATCCTATATTTTTGATGGAAAATTTATTAAAAATTTATTAAATATTCTCTAAATTCAATTTAAAAAACTTTTATAGCGATTGCCTGAACTTTTTTGATTCTAATTTAAATCGGTTTATTGCTACTTTGCGCAAAACAATACTGAGATGTTAAATTTATTAGGTTATAATTATGAAAATGTTTAAAAACGACAAGTTTTTGTCCTCATTTTTATACTTTGTAAAGGGCTTATCGCTCGTTTATACATCTAAATAAATAAATAAATAAATAAATAAAAGTTGAATCAAATTAAAATTAAGAATTAAATTAAAATATATTCTTTCATCAAAGCAGGGGTTCTCGTTTACATTTCTTTTCAAGAATATAAAGATTTTTTAAAAAATATTAAATGAAAGTAAAATATTGAACATTTCATTTAATTACGAAATAATAAATTACATATTTAAATTATAATTAATTAAGTTTCAATCATTTAAAAAAAAATTCTTCAGGAACATTCACAAATTGGAACGTTAAGCTTATTATTCAAAAACAGATTTTCTCTGCGGCGAGAGAAATCAAAAATTTACATATAAATTTATTTTGATAATATAATTCTTGGAAAAGGAAAAATTTTCAAATTTTCCTCGCGGCTAAGCAGGAATTTAATTTATTTTTTTTAAAACTGTACTTATCTTGTAATGTAATGTTTCTTTAATATTTTTTTATATTTATATAATGTGTTTATATTTACTTGTCAATATATATCAGTCATTGACTTATGATAAAAAAATGGGAAAATATCATTAGTTAACGACCATTCTTATATTTATCATCATTATATCAGAAAATGTTATGTAAGCCGCTAACAGGTAAAAAAAGTTTCTTTAAATGTTTCTTTGAATTTTTTTTAGTAATTATTTTTTTAACGTTCCTGTAAATGTCTTTGTTTTTCAAATGTTTTTTTTTGTTTTTTTGTTTTTTAAATGTTTTTTTTTGTTTTTTAAATGTTATTCTTGTTTTTCAAATGTTTTTTTTGTTTTTTTGTTTTTTAAATGTTATTCTTGTTTTTCAAATGTTTTTTTTTTGTTTTTTTAAATGTGATTTTTGTTTTTTAAATGTTATTTTTGTAATTTAAATGTTGTTTTTTGTTTTTAAATGTTATTTTTGTAATTTAAATGTTGTTTTTTGTTTTTAAATGTTATTTTTGTATTTTAAACGTTTTTTTTTTTTAAATGTTATTTTTGTATTTTAAACGTTTTTTTTTTTGTTTTTTAAATGTTTTTTTTATTTTCAAATGTTCCTTTTTAATTTAATCATTTGTTTTGTTTGATATATTCCACCATTGGGTTAAAAATGACAAAAAAGCGGGGGTCTTTAGATTATAACATGGGCAAATAAAAAAAGGGTATTACAATAGCAGGGCCGCGAATGAAAACGCGAAACTTGAGACGGAAAGTAGTTGCGGTCGCGCGCCGGAACTCCGGAAGTCAAACGGACGGGTAGTTTGTTTTAACGCGATGGGTTCGCATTTGTTTCGCTTTATCGCGTGGAAAATTAGTCTCGATCACACTTTCGAGGGAAAGATTTATTTTCCACGCTTTTCCCCGCTCCGGATCTCGTTTTTGATAGTAACGTGACTATCGGCTCTCCTCTCCTCTCTTTTTTTTTTTGTTGAACAAAAAGGGAAAACATTTTTTGCTTTCACTCGAAATATATATATATTTATAAAAATTATTTACTGCGATTTAATAAAATGTAAATTTAATAAATTCACATTTAATAGAATATAAATAAATAATAAATATACATTTTATTCAATCATAGAAAATAATTTACCTTAGATGCATTTTAAAGAGTGATTTTATTTATCAAAAAAAAATATTTTTCTTTACCCATCGCACTAGAACAATTTTAATTCTTCCAGTGAACTCTCTCTCTCTCTTTATTCGCAGTTAAAATTTAAAGGTTCATCAAATTTTTATATTCTTATACTTTAACCAATAATCGCTACTGGTTGGTCTGGGTATATGAATAAAATACAACGTAGCAGTAAATATTAGATATTGAAAGTTAAAATTGGACAAAAAATCCATTTGGCGAAAAAGTGGAGATTATTGAGAAGTGAGCTTAGAAAGATAAGGGAATAAGAATAGAGAAAAATTAAAAATTGCATCAATCTGATATTGGGAAACTATGCAGATAAAATCTAGAGTCGACAAGTAAATCTCGAAATTTACGTTACTCTCTAAATCTGTAGCAACGATAAGTATTCTGCTAATTCTAATCAGTTAATCTTTCGTGAATCACTGAACATACTTATCGATGATGAGAATCTGTGAAATTCCGCTAATTTCGAGAGTTCTAATAAAGAACGTGTCTCAACACATGTTGGTAGATGTCCCACAGACTGCAGAGAGCAAGAAGGATAGCTCGTAGGATTAAAAAAAGTTTTTATTTAAAAAAAAACCTGGCGCAAAAGATTAATCAACAATAATTTTACAAGTTATTTCTAAATTAAAAGAAATCATGAAATCACTTTTAAATTAAAAATTCTTTTTTTAAAAAAAGAATTCACGAAATTAAAAATAGATATTCTTAAATTAAAAAGGAATATTCTTTTCTTTAATTATAAATATTGAAGTAGTTTGAATTTAAAAAATTAAATTTTTAAAGAGAAATCAATAAAAAAATGTATTTAAAAATAACCCGGCGCAAAAGTTTAATTAAACACACTTTTTTAGAAGTTATTTTAATTTAAAAATACAGAGACTTGTTTTGAAATTAAAATTTAAGTATTTTTTAAAATTAAACAAATCTTTTATGAAATATAGAATTGTATTTTTGTTTTTCACTAAATCGCTAAAGTTGTATAACACTTTTAGAGATGAAATCGTACGAAAGAACGTCTTTAGTACGATGGAATTCGAATTAATAAACGTACTTAATGAACTGTAAATGCACGTCGATAGTCAAGATCGGTTTCCACACTCATATTGATTGGCGAATTGGCTTTCGGTTTCTAATATGTCGATTTCTCCCTTAATTGAAGTACGCTTCTATTGAATTGTTACACAAGTATCGCGAGTCACTAATTCCATTCTCTTAGTACTTTACCAACACATTAGAATTTAATTAGAAACTATATTCAACTGGCTCTATAGAATTGACAAAACTTGTTCTTCCGACAATTGAATCTAAAAGAGGGAAATTATCTAGATTACATGGAAAAAGAAGTAAAAGAAAAAGTTTACAACTTTCTCAAAGTCGAATAAGAAGGTGAGAGGGGGAGGGGATTTTTATTTGTAAAGGAAAATTGAAAAGGTACTTCACTTCTCCCAATTTATCAGATATTCACCTTGTGATAACAATTACTGTTTGTCATGCAAAAGAGTTTTTTTTTCTTACCAACATCTTATGTACATTTATCATTAAGATTTATATGCGGGAGTCTACTAAAGAAAAAAGAGAGAAAAGTAAAAAAAAAGGTCTACTTTAAAGAAGGTTAAATGTAGTAAATTTTTCTTTTCTTCTTTCAGATGCACGTCCGGACAACGGTCGTCGTATCTCCATCTAAGGTAAGATTTTTCATATTGAGATTTATTTTTAAATAATACTTTCTTGTGTATTTCTAGATAATGTTTATGCTTGTTTTTTGTTTACTTTTTTTTCGTTCACTAAAACTTTTTTTTTCATTGAAAAAAATTTTTTTCTTGTCACTAACAATAAGTTGGTGAAAGAGGAAGAAAAGTCAATTTCCCGAGAAGTTTTCTAGAAAATATTCACGTTCGAAAATTTTTCATGATCTCGGATGACACTAAGCGAAATGGAGAAACGTGCAAGTGCTCAATATCTTATGTTAGCTTTTTTCAATTTCGACCTCACTATATATTCCCTTTTACTTCATTTATATGTACCGGGGTTCCACTCGCTTTCAGGAAGAACTTTTGGGGTATTTTTTGGACATCTTCCAAAAATCGTTTTTCAAATATAATCCAAGGGAAATCAATTTTTGTTTTTAAATTTTAAAATTATTTCTAATTATAAAATTAGAAAATTAAATTTTTATACAGTTTTTAAATTAGAAAGTCTTAATTTAAGAGTTGTAAAAGTTCTTGTAATTTTAAGAGTTCAAAAGATTTATTTAAAAATAATCTGGCGCAAAAGATTTACAAATTTTTCCCTTTTACACTGTGATTTTTATCTGACATAATATGAATAGGGATTTTTCTCCTGTAAAAAGAAAAAAAAATCTATGAAAATATATAATTTACTTGCAACTATTTGTCAGTTGCAATTTGAGGTCAGAATGATAAATACGTCTTCTTGTTTTAATTTTATAGAAAAGTAGAGAGGCAAAAAAAAAATCACTGAATTTTGCGCACGACGCAAATGCTGTATACATCAAGTTAAAAATGATCTCATTAATCATGACTCTCGCGTGCAGCATCTTTTTATATAAAATAATAAAACACACAGGTGTGTTTCTACTTTGCAATATCTTTTGAAACAAACTTTTCATTCTGTTATTGCGCATATTTGCTTAAATTCATAGAAAAATATTAGAGAAACAAATTTTCTCTCCTTTCAAAAACATCTTGCTCTTCATAATTATTACATATCACAAATTTTCTTTTGCGCCTTCTGCATTTAATTATAGAAATATTTTTTTAATTTGGCTACAAGATTATAATCTGCATTTTTTAATGTAAAAAATACTCATTACTCATTTGCGCCAGGTTTTTTTTTAAATAAATACTTTTAGTCATTGTCCGGCATCTCTAGGACAATGTTACAACTATTGTTAATTCCTCTTATCATGAAGTAATTTTTTAAAAGTGACACTAAACCTTAAAGACTACGAGTAGAAAATAATTAAAAAATTTTCCTTCCCTATATTGTTGCTGAGCTCCTGAAATATAACAAGCTTGATAGATTTAATATCCTTCAGCTTGTGTATCATAATCTTGTGTTGGGGGGTCAAAATATCAAAGGCACCTTGAAGTTTTCGCTTGTAGAGAACGGCGTTTGAATTTAACCCCGTAATTAGAGGCGCCACTGTAACGCTTAAGCGGCTGTCCAACGTACACATGTTGCCTTTCGAAATATATATATGTGGCGACTGACACTAGAGTGTAGATTTGTTGCGTGTAATGTGAAGCGAATATATATACACATAAGTATCTACATAGATAGACATTGTGTATACACACAATTCGTACACACTTAATCGCTTATAAGGGATCATATGGAAGCTTAATATCTGGGTTTATACAAGCTCGTTATTTTGAACCACGTGAAGGTGGTACGTTTAAAAAGTAAATCACATCTTCTGCGTACATTCCCCCACAAGAAGAGATTACGATCTCTTATACCTTTCACCAAAACTCAATTTAATTTCTTTTTTATATTTTTCAATCCTCTTTTGATTATGCATCGACTACTTTTGCGATACCTGCAAAAGTGAATCGCTAGATTTACTTCCCGTCTACTTAATCGTGTTACATGGTTTCTTATCGACAAATTTCGAAGATTAATACTGTTATGTCTCAGAAGGAAACTAAACATATTCCAAATTATATTTAAATTCTCCGGCATCGGTGATTCATACTTGATTTATTCCTCTGATCTTAAGGGACAGGTTTTAAGAAAGAGGAACTATTGAAATAAATTTAAATTATTAAAGTTTTTTATTTGAATCCTTTACAATTAGAATGAGAGAAGAAGAGTAGATCCAGATGTCTTCAAGCACACTGAAACAAAATTAGAATTTTGTTGAATCAAAGAGAATTTAAATGGGGACAAGTATTAGTAATTTACCTTTTAAAGTTATTGTTAGAGACTCAGCAAGCGATACATCCTTCAGTGTGAGGTCGAAGAAAATACCTTGACTAGTCGAAACAGAGAATGCAGTAGATTTCCCTCAAATTGTTTTCGAGCTAACCAAAGTGAAAGGTCCGCGGTCCAGGTGTCGATGTAAATTAGATTGAACATCCCTCAACCTTGGAGTGAGCGAATTATTTAATTGACGTTGATGTCGTGGTAAATGCAGTCCTTAGGAAAATAGAAATGTGCCTCGTAGTAGAAATTATATCCTTGAATGAATTTGACTAAGACGTCAAGGAAGAAACTTGATGACAATAAACAACTTGTTAACTTGGTTAACCATTTAACTTGCTCGCGGTTGCTGGATTGACACGAAGAAGACAGGCAATTGATTCGGAAGTGATTTCTAGACTAGTTAACTTAAGGGGATTCCTGAACTGACACGAAGAACACAGGTCGTTGATTCGGTGGTGACTTCTGGACTGACGAATTCAGAAAGGGTGGCACCTTTTATAGGTTTCATTTGCAAACGGATTTTACATCATACCACCCAATTTTATTGTTTTCGGGGTCAGTTTGTTATTTATTTATTTATTTAATTTTTAACTCCTGTATCAGTCAAGTGAGGACCCAGTAGAAGGGTGACAAAATACAGATCACCATATTTAGTTTCTGCTATCCAGGTAAAGACTTTGGATCAATATTGCTTTGATTCCAAGAAAATAAGGATTCAGTTTTTAGCTTTACAAAATATCTGATTAACTGAGAAGTTGTTGATTCTTAAGCTATTATTTTGTCATCAGTTGTAATGACTCCAACTATTCTCTTGATGACATTCGTCGATTAATGAAGGGGGTAAAGGTTTAAAACGCAAAAAGAAGCATTTTTGCAATCCTTGTTTTTAAAAGAGTAAATATGGAAATTAATTAAAAGAAGGAATTTTTAGGTTCCCATTTATGCTCCTATAGAACTTCGGCATTACGTTTGTAAATAAATTAATTAATAGAGGATGGAAAATCATGTATTTTGAATTAATAGTTGATTCCAAATCCGCATTATAGGGATTGTTTACTATTAGGTATTAGATAGTACTGGTGGTATTAAACGGATTATTGTTGTCGCAAATTTTAGTTTTGTCATTAGTGATGACGTGATTATTGCTTTCACTATTGGCAGATATTAGCATCCTAAAACAATCTCAACTAGGGTAATTATTGCAAGCAGTGTTGCTGCTGTTAAATTATAACAAGATGCCTGGTAGATTCAGTCATATTTCAATTGCAACAGTTATGTCTGTTGTAAGTGGAGATATTTTTTATTGTTATTATTACCATTATTCATTTTATAAAATGTTTCTAACTAGGAAATATTTTTTTTATTTAATTTTAGCTGATTCATGAACTTTTTCACATTTTCCGTAATGTCTACCTAAATAAACAAATCCGACAGGGATGTTGTATTGTCCTCTCTGCAGAAATTAAATTTCTATTATTTTTTTTTCCTTTTGAAATGAATTCGTGCAGTTACTGTAAATACATTATACACAAATACGATTCTCGTATAAATGAAACGCTTTCGTGTGATAATTTGAATTCATATACGGAGAGAGAGATTAAGATTAAAATCTCATATCGCAAATTATGTGCGCAGGAGGAGGGGTATGGGGTTTGGGGAGATGGGTTTGAGAATAATTATTCTCCTAAACAGAATTCAAAATTGTGAAATTCTAATTCATTTTCATTCTTGTAAATGCATTGTTATTGTTGCGCTTATGAAATGAAAATTTTCAAGTCGATTAAAATCTGTTATAAATGTGTGTGTTTCGTTCTTTTATTGATATTTCCTTTATTATGTATATTGTAGTATGCATTTGAAGATAACGTGAATCGTGTTTCTACCTAGGGAAAGCTAGATTATAGTCTAGCTTAGCCTATGACAACAACATCCTTGGAGAGTTGTTCTTGTAATCCTTGTTACGGGTTTAAGCAGCTTTCTTTGTTTTCGCACTTTTTTACATTTCAAAAGTTAGTTTATTATTAATTTAAGTAAATTTTAGTTTTAAACAAAAATTTATTTAAAAACAACCTGGCGCATTAGACACTCAACTTTTATTTTCCGTTTGATACTATAATTCCCAGCTGAAACAAAATTGTTGACAAATATTAAACCAGTTACAGTTGATTTACAAACAGATTCAGTAAAATTCCTAATTTCCTAATAAGTAATTTGGTAATTGGTCCTGAAATTCTTTTCAGAATTTTATTTTCATTTAATAAATTTAAAAACAGGAAATAAGTATACGCAGAATTTTTTTTTGATGTTTGGGAAAAGAGTTTGTTTTTAGAGATGCTTTTTGCTTGGCAAGGGAATATTAACAAACTCATCAAACGCTATCTTGTCTTTACAGATAGAGAACAAGTAAACTTGCAAGCTCTTTAAGATCTCAGTTAGGATAAGAAAAATTCTCTTCTTATACTACTTTCACGTTCTCTTTCTTGTCTAAGTGACTCTCGCTAAGAAAAATGGGAAAAAGAGAAAAAAGAGAGAAGGAGAATTGCATCCCTCTCTTTCTCTCAAGAACAAAGGTCACCAAGATTCTCCTTCGAATTTTGTTTTTAAGAGAAAGAAGCAAAGTATGAATAGAAGAAAACTTTCTGCTTTAGATTATGAGAAAATTTTATGCTTTGTTGTAAATTCATATATCATCCGGAACTGTACAACTGTGCTCGTATTTTATGAAATCTTTATTATC